TTTATTTTTCTGAATAGACTGGACCCTGCCTTGGCAATTTTCCTTGAAATGCCCATTGTTCCACAGTGGGTACACATCTAGTTATTCGGTACAATAACATACTTGTTATGGGGTTGTAAGGAGTTTTCTCCTTTTGAAACCCTATTCCCTGCATGTTTCCACCATTATTAACATACATGGCAGTAATAGCTTTTGAGGACCAGGTCCACTTAAGGGACTTTTTAAGATCATTTTTCACTCTTTCCAATTAAGTTTGGAGATGCTTGTTTTTCTCAGTTTCAAAACACATGCTGGTTTTCACAGCTTTCAACTTGTTTTCAAGCCTAATGTGTGCCTCACTGGCTGCATATTTTCCTTTCTCAGAATTTCCAGGTCTAGACTCAGTTCCTGGTCCCTCTATAGTTTCTCTCAGGTCTGCAATCACTATCAAGAGATCATCTTTATCCTCCTCAATTTTAGTCACTCTCTTCACTAAGACCTCTTTTTCTTTACTGAAATTCTCAATGGTTTCCTTATAGTCAATAGCTACAACAACCAAGTCATCTCTTTCATGTTCTATGCAAGCAATTTTTTCAGTTAAAACAATTTTATCATTTTCCAAATCAATTATGGTTTCCTTCAGATCAACTACACACACTACCAAATCATCTCTAGTTTGTTCTGCTTCTCCTAGCTCTAAGATCAAAGCATCTTTATCCTTTACAAGACTATGATAGGCATCAATTAATACACTAACTAAAGATATGAGTTTCTTATAGGAGTAGGATTTAAGATTTCTCTTAACATCCCTGAAGTTTACCTCACTATGTGAAATCCTCTATATGCTTACAACTTGAATTGCTCTCGTATGTGCCCATTATCCTAAATGGCAAGGTTAATATCAAAAGTGGAAATGATGTAGAACGTAAGTTATAAAATGTGGCCTAGTGCCACGTATGATATGATAATTGTGGCCCCAAGTGCCGATGAACTGATATATATGTAATAAAGATTGAAATGAGATGACTGATGGAAAAGGGAAAAACGTCTTGATAAGATGGTCTAGCCGATCGGTTCGTGATCGGATGCCATGCTGCACACATAGTGGTATTGTGCTGATATTGAAACGAAAAAGTAATAATGAAATTGTGACTGAGGTACATGTCTCAAATGAGGCAACCTAGCCGATCGGGTCGTGATCGGACTCCGTGCAAGAAAGTGGTGGTATTGTGAATGATGATGCAATAGTATGAAATGTCCCAACCTAAAGTTATGGAAATTCTATTAAAGCTATGTGAACCCTCTTACTTGATGATGTGGTGATTGTTTGAAGCTTCTATTAGTCTTTATGTTTCCTTTATTCTTATATGGTTGTTCTTTCTAATGAGATGATATCTAGTTATACATACTAGTACTATTTTTTTTTCAATCCGCTAGGCAAGCGCCTGGGGCTAGTTTTTTATTAAAAATAGAAAAGAAAATACAATAATTAGGAAATTGTCATTGTCTTCCTTCAATGAAAGGAAATAGACTTTGCACTCTAATGTAACGTACTTTCAAAATTGAGTATAATACTCAAATTTATATCACATTATGCCTACTAAAACTTTGTAGTTGTCAAAACAGCCCAAGCGAGTCCATGTCGATGTTGTATCTACAATCCAAAGCGTCCCAGTTGTAGAGTTAAATTTGATTTGCATGAATAGCCCCTTTTCAGCAACTTCACGTCGACTCCACCAATTTGGTAGCTTGGCTATGTAGCATACGGCACTGTAGCGTACAACACTGTAGCATACGGCACTGTAGCATACAACACTGTATGTGCCCATTCTTGAAGACTTCAGGCTTGCTTCCCAAAGCACATGCCTTCCTCTTGCTTCTGCCCATTCTTTCTCCAAGGAGCATGCTGTGATTCTTCCAAGGATCATGCTTTGAGGCTTGTGTATACAAAGATTGGGACATGATCCATGTATTAAAAATTGTACCAACTCCTCCACCCAATGTTAGCTTTTTTAAAATTCCAATATGGCCTTGTTTGTACAGACCAAGTGGACTCCAATCCTCCTTCCCATATATTATTATAGGCGTGCAAATTAATACTAGTATGGGATTTATTTAATGTTCATTTGACTCCTCAAAATTCCTCCAACTCCACATGTATCATGCTTCCTTCTCGATCATCAACAATTTGCAGATTCCAAGCTTGCAAACTTATGTGATGGTGTGAGCATCACCTCGATCCAGCGTTACCATTGACTCCTTGTCGAGACATCTTTTCCAGTAGCTCTATTTTTCTGCGTGACATTGCCAAGCTTTTGTATACTTTTGACTGTTTTTGTGCCTCTATGCCTGCCTTGATTGACGAAAGCCCATGTAGAATCATGCTTCCATTAAAAAAATCCATAAACAAGCATGCAAACTAGCTGTTGGACGAAGGATGCTTTAATATAAAAATCAAAAAACTGCATTGGCCTTTGTTGCCACCTTTTCTCGAAGACATTCTTTCTGCACATGCTAGTTGTGTTTCCAATGCGTTTTGGTTCTTGTTGTGCTCAAAAATTCTTAGATCCTTTCTCGAACTGAACCATGCGTGTGTTTTGCCCCTTTAAAATTGCATTTCCTGCTTCTGTACAAATGTATGTAAAGTAGTAAATCTCGGCTTTAGTCCAAGCTATTAAAAGATGTGTTTGCTTTTGTTCAAATGGCATATTCTCCTCGAAATTAAGCACTTCTGCACCATGCTGGTTGTATATCCAAGGAATTGAAAGCACGCGATCACCCCATACTGGTTGGGTTTCCAATGCCATTAGTCTTTGTTGTTGTGCTCGATTTATTGATGTGTTTTTGTTCTTTAGCAAAGGTTATCTCGAAAAGTTGTTGCATTGAGTGCCATAAGCAAATGTAGTGGCACCTCCTACTCATCCTTTTCTCTTTGCTTCTTATCTCCTGTCCACCTTCACCATTAGCCTTGGGCATTGCATCTTATCTTCATTAACTAACCTCCTTCCCTGTGCATCTAGATGCTAGAATTGTTGGCATTCTATTTCTCCATGATCTAAAGCATAATTAGCCAAGTGATCTGCCAGCTTGTTTCCCTCCCTATGAATATGAGTAATTGTGTAATTGCCCCCATTCATTAGTTGCATCATTTCCTCTACCTGCTAAAATATGATCCATGGTGGTTTTCAGATCCCATCCATTTTCTTTTTTAATAACATTGAGTCAGTTTGAAGCCATACATTAGAGTATTGTTGAAATCAGCAGAACCTTAGTGCTTCTACCATGGCCTTCGCTTCAGCTACTATGTTTGTTATCTCCTCAATCTCCTTCCCTACTAACTTGACTATGTCACCATTTTCATTTCTTATACAAAAACCTATTGAGCTCCTGCCTGGATTTCCCCTCGATGCACCATCCGTATTAACTTTTAGCCATCCTGCACTTGGAAGTTCCCACATGACTTTGGTAACCTTAAGTTTAGGAGTGAAATTTTCCATCATAGCTAATAGATCTTGCCATTTGTGAGGTACCATTTCTATCCCAGGCTTTCTCACTTTCACCAATGCCTGTAGACTTGATAAAACTTGATAAATCACCCTGCTAGTTGTCACAGCATCACCATACTTCATACTATTTCTTCTTTTCCAGAGTTCCCAGACTACACACGAGGGGAGTGCTTGCATTACTGGTTGAGACTTAAGTACACATTTACAGTCCAACATTTTGTGATTGCTTGGTGCAAAGTAAGTCCCTCCACAGCTATTCCTGCCCTCGATAGAAAATACTTCCAAGTTGTCCTTGCAGTTTCTGTTCTAAAAAACAAGTGCTGAAGAGATTCCTCGTCAGGCTGTACACAACACCAACATTTTGATGGCATGCAGTAGCCTACCCTTTTCAAGAAATCATCTAAAGGTAGCTTTTCTTTCCACACTTTCCACATGAAAAATGATATTTTAAAAGGCAGTCCCTTTACCCAAATCATCCTATAAGCTGTTCTTGGTTAGGCTCTTCTTCTCATATAATCCCATGCTTACTTAACACTGAAATATCCTCTTGTTTCCAGCATCCAACAAGGCATGTCAAGAACCTGCTGAGGTGAAGGTGGTTTGATTTTCTCCAGAATGTGTACTGCTAAATCTTCAGGAAGCATTTCAAATAGTCTGTCCACATCCCACTCACCATCTAAGGTTCATCATGTACATTATGTACAGTTTCATCAATGCCAAAGTCCTGAGGAACTAAAATAGTGAGGATCCCTTTTTTGTTTGCCAAAAGATTTGATGTTCAATAAGATCTCTGCATTCCAACATTTTTCTCCAAATGTGAGACACCCTTTTCCATGGAACAATTACAAAATTCAATTTTTTACAGTAATTTTGACATACGAAAGAGCTCCATAGGCTTGGTTTTGTTCTGAAATTCCACCACAACTTGCTGAATAATGCCTTTTCTACATCATGCAATGACCTGAAACCTATTCCTCCTTACTCAACTGGCATGCATAAGGTATTCCATGAAGCCCAATGCCTACTAGTTCCTCCTACAGAGCTGCTCCAGAAAAACTGAGCGAACAATTTGTGCAACCTATTTATCACATAATTTGGAGGGTTTACAGCTGATAATAGATGCATAGGCATGCTTTGCAGTACATGGGATATGAGAACTGCCCTGCCCCCTACTGATAATAACTTACCCTGGCATGATTGCAGTTTGTCCATTACCTTAGTAATTAGGGGCTGATAGTATTCCAGCTTTCTCCTTGCATAAAATATAGGACAACCTAGATATATGATAGGAAAATCATTCCTATGAATGCCTGTGATCCTTTCCACCCTGCTGACCACTTCCATGTCTGTTAAATGATGCAGGTACACAACTGATTTGGTCTTGTTAACAAGCTGCCCAGATGCATCTTCATATGCATTCAGCACTTGCATAATCAGCATCAGAGATGTTTCATCTAAGGATGAGAAAATAATCATGTCATCTACATATTCCAAATGATTGATCTTTAGACTCCACTATGGCATCTCAAATCCACAAAAATACAGGTTAGTATGTAGTGCATTGAGACCCCTAGATAATGCTTCTGCTGCCAAGATAATCAAAGTTGGAGATACCGGATCACCTTGTTTACTCCCCTTGAGGACTTAAAGAACCCATGAGCTTGACCATTGATTAGAATAGAATACCAATTGTTGGAAACTAATCCAAAGACAATCCCTATCAACCTTTCTGTGAATCCCATCTTTCTCAGTACCTTGGTTATGAATAGCCAAGATAATCTATCATAAGCTTTGGTCATATCTAGCTTTAGGATGACAAATAGGTTCAGCCTTAGTTCTAAGCCTACTGTCAGTCACTATCTCCTGAGTTAGAAGGATGTTTTCTACTATATTCCTGCCCTTAACAAAACCTGACTGTTCCTCCAATATCAGACTTGGGAGAAATTTCACTAGCCTTTCATGTACCACCCTCGATATAACCTTATTTGAAAAGTTACTGAGGCTTATTGGTCTTAAATCAGAAAAATGGCAGCTTCTTTTTTCGTTCGTAGCAGAACTATGTTGGTGTGTGTTATACACTTGGGTAGATCATGACCATTAAAAAAATCCCTCACCATGTGGTACATGTCATCCCTTATTATGTCCCAACAAGAATGATAGAATTTTCTTGTCATACCATCTGGGCCCCCAACACTATCACCATTAAGTCCGAGTACTGTCACTTTAACCTCCTCTTTTATTGGTTGCTTAATCAATTCTGCATTCTGCTCAGCGTTAACCAGATTAGGAACATGCTCTATGATATCAAATGACGAAGGAGTAGCTGCTTCTGTGAACTGTTCCTCGTAGAATTTGATAGCCTCTTCTGCAATTTCTTGTTCTTCTTCAATCCAGGTTCCTCCACTATTTTGAATTCAGTTAAGCTGAAGTCTATTCCTCCTACCTCTCACTTGTGTGTGGAAGAACTTAGTGTTCCTATCCCCTTCCTTGAACCAAGTCATGCCTGCCTTTTGTTGCCAATATTTCTCCTCTAGTGCAAGACATTTGATCAATTCTGCCTGAACCTTTTGTAGCCTTTCCCTGTTCATCCCTGTAGGATTTGCTTCAAATTCTGCTTCATGAACCATCACTACCTCCTCCATGCTTGCTATCTTTTGGAAAATATCTCCAAATGTAGCCTTACTCCACAATGAAAGGGCCTTCTTTAATTTTTTTAACTTGTGATTAAAAAGAATATAAGGATTTGCACTGAAATCAGCTGTCCAATTCTCTTTCACCACATCTTTAAAAGTCGCATGCTCCACCCAAAAATTCAAGAACTTAAAAAGCTTTTTTATTGGTGAAGTCTCAATATCACACTTCAGATACATTGGACTATGATCGGAACCAGTCTTTGACAAATGTTGCACCTCTATTCCTGGAAATATTTGTTGGAACTGAACATTGGCCAAGCATCTGTCTAGCCTTTTGAATATACAGTCTTCCTCTGCTCTCCCATTCCACCATGTAAATATGCTACCTTTAAATCCAAGGTCGAAGAGAATGCACGTGTTGATGCAGTGTCGAAAATCATCAATTTCATTCAAAGACATCGGTAACCCACCAAACTTCTCTTCTTCGTCCCATATTACATTGAAATCTCCTCCTACAAGCCATGGTGCATCCATATCCCTTGCCATTGCATATAATGAATTCCATAATTCTATCCTCTTAATTGCATCACATTTAGCATATATCAATGCTAGGACAAACTCCACATGCTTTTCAGTATGAAATAATCGTAGTGTTAATTGTTGTACGATATTGTACATAACAGCTACCTCAAATACCTCATCTATGAAAGCCCAGATCTTTTTGGAAACATTTGAAATTGCTTGTGCAAGTCCTATCTTGTTTCTGTACCTTTCCAGTTCTTTTGCTTGTTGTTTTGGCTCCATTAATCCTACAAATTCATTGTGATTTTTCCTGTGCATTTTTGTCAATCTTTCAAAGGCCTGCTGTGTGTTGACTGACCTTATATTCCAAATGAGAGCATTCATCACTGATTGTTTGATTTAGTTAGTGTTTTCCTTGTGTGAACCCCATGTTTTGGTGCTCCAAAATTATTTTTTTGTTGCTTCTTCTTACCTTTTACTGCTAATTTTGCCTTTTCCACTTGCGTAGGTGATAAGTCATCTTGCCATACAGCATTCATAAGGTGTTGGGTAGTTGATTACTAAGGTAAATGGATGAGCCCCATGGTACTAACGTCATTTTTTTCGGGGGCGCTACATCTTTTAAATGGATGTAGATAGTTCCATAGCAGACAGTGTCGATCGAAGGTAGTGGAGCATCCTTCTCTCAGAAATCTTGGTGAGCCCCTTTTCTTCAAGAGGTTATATTGTACATCTTTTGAAGTTGGGTCCACTCGATTGAGCGCTGATCGCGCCTCCCGAGGTTGGGCGTGACAATTGTATTCAACAGGTCCTATTGCACTCACCAAAATTTTCTAGGCAAGAAAAGTTTTCTCAACAGCTTTCTTGTCTGCGTCAGTATATTCTTTTCTGGTCTTTGGCATTGACAATGGAAGGTCTCCGACATTCTTTGTTGGGATGTAAGGACCATCACATATGATGTCCCATAACTCAGAGTCTTCAGTCGTGATAAAATCATGCATTCTTGTTTTTAACCATCCATAGTATTGCCTATTAAACATGTGTGGTCTATACGTAGACTGACCTTCTTCAAAATTTGGTGGAGCAGCTATAAGGATCCGTCCTAGGTGTTAGCCTGATAGGAGGAACCCACTCTGATACTAATTGATAGTTATATGAGTCCACCAAACTATAGAGCCAAGTCTTCTATGAGTTTCCACTAAGAATACGAATAAAATAGTAAGTAAATAAGACAAGGAGTTTTACGTGGAAAAATCCCTGCTCAAGGAGATAAAAGATCACGACCTACACTAGTAGGATTTCAAATTCACTATGAGCAACTTTTAGATTACAATCTATGCAATCTAGGAATTAAAATCCTAATCCCTCACTAACTCGTAATACACCTATTACAAGCCACTTTGCAATACATCTATTACAAAGACTTCAACTTATGACTAACTCTAGTCACGACATAAACACAAGGGGTTCATAGTTTTACAAAGGGGTTCATAAGAAATGCTTCTAGCTAAGCAATTTAGGAATTACAATAAAGAACAATTTCAAAGTAACAACTCAACTAAGGAGAACAAAATATTAGATTTAGGAACTGGTCCGTAGTAGCGTTAAACTTTGTTCTTAAGGCACCTGAGAATTGAGTTCGCTGTCTCAGAAGGCTTGAATGCTTGGAGTAAATTCTCAAGTGTTCAAATGATGTTTTGTGGTAATACTCTTGTTAATACACCTTTGATGACATCACTTGAATTTTGTAAGCACTTGGTTGGTTAAAAGACAAGTGACTGGAGAACTATGCTGCACTGTGTGCACTATTTCTATGGTAGTCACTTTCAAGCTGTACATAATTGACTTTTCGTACTGATGTCAGGGAAACACGAGGGATCAGGTCCTTGTGTTGATTCTCTAACTTCTACAGTTGCAGTATTTCACTCTAGCTGATGTCCGTTAATTAGCAATGTATACCAAGTATGTCAGGTTCCCTGTCTGGTTCTTGACAATAAGTTTGTTAGATCATCAAAACATTAAGCTAAGACATTGAAAACCCATCAGGGGCTTAACCCCCAATATCTGCCAATGTCCACCAAATAACCTTCTTTCTCTTTTGTAGCACCACCAAAGTGGAGTCTACCTACATGTTAGTCAAACAAGAGAAAAGAATAACCGGAAAAAGTAGAACAAGGACCAAGAAATTTATACCGAAGATGTGGACGCAATGGCTTCAATTCCAAGGTATGAGGCTCTTCAATAGAAAGCTTTGTAGTAGGAGTTGTCCTATTTTCAAAGATTTCACCCATTTCATGAATCCATCCATCTCATCATCATCAAAGTTGAGCAAGAAGGCCTCCAACATATCACCAACATTGATTGTGGCACTCGTATCATCAACAATAACATCGGTCACCAAGTCCATAAAAGAGCACACATCATTACTATTTTGTTGATGAATGGACTTACATATATGGAAAACAATTTGTTTATCACCAACCCAGAAGGTAAGTTCTCCAACTTCAATATCACAAAGATCCTTCCCCATAGAAAGGAGAGGTCATCCAGAATAGTCAGCCCGTCATAATCAACTTCACAATCTAGAATGACAAAATCCTCCGGAAGAATGAATTTATCAACACAAACCAATACATCTTCAATCACTCCAAAAGGTCTCTTTATAGTATGATTGGCCATTTGCAGTCTCATAGAGGTGGGTCTTGGTTTCCCAATTCCCAAGGTCTTGAAAACCGAATAAGGCATCAAATTGATACTTGCCCCAAGATTACAAAGATCTTTAGCAAACTCGACGCTTCCTATTGTAAAAGGAATCATGAAAGCACTGAGATCCTCCAACTTAGGAGCCACTGAATGCACAATTGCACTCACTTGATGAGCGACTTTGATGGTTTCAAAATTTATTGAGTGCTTCTTTGTCACAAGATCCTTCATAAATTTTGCATAGCTAGATATTTCTTCCAAAGCTTCAATTAATGGCACATTGATTGAGAGACTCTTTATCATTTGAATGAACTTCTTGAATTAATTCTCGCCATTTTTCTTGGCAAGTCTTTAAGGGTATGGAGGTGGAGGCTTAGGTAATGGTGCCTTAGCCTTTTGCACTACCAGCTCCGGTATGTCTATATTGTGATCCCTAGAAGGGTTTACCTCCTCTTGAATCTCTTCTACACTATCATCAATATCAATCCAAACTCTATCATTTGATTCCACCACATTGTTTGGGACCTCTTCTTCTTGTACAACTTGCTCATTGCCAACAAATTTCCTTTGATTTGAGGTGGGTTCATTCCCACCTCTTCCACTTCTTGTAGTAACATCCATGGCATGCCCCGTGTTGTTTCCACCCTTTGGGTTTACTACCGTGTCACTTCCTAGTGCCCTATAGGACTAGAATAAAAGCTTGAGAGATTTTCCCCATTTGAATTTCTAAGTTGCGGATCGATGTGTTGTGTGAGGTAAGTTAGGCATCCGAATCAGCAATATTTTCCATCATTTCTTGACCATATTCTCAATACACCCCATCTCATTATTTGAAGAACATGGACCATGGGAAGGATAAGGAGGCGGGTTGCTTGGTTGTTGATAAATCGGGGGCCTTTGAAAACCCGACCCCTGGTTGCCTTGATTACTATTCCATCCACCTTGACTATTAATCCCCCTCCCCCCCCCCAATTCCCTTGATTTTTATTGTTATGCCAATTCCCTTGATTTTTGCCACCACTCCAATTTCCTTGGTTGTTAGAATTCCAATTGCCTTGATTGTTTTGAGGTCGCCATTGTTGTTAGTTTGGGACTTGGAAGTTGTTTCTTTGCCCTTGAAAGTTTTTCACATATTGCACATCCTCTTCTTGTTCATTATAAGAATCATCTTGATCAAAATCACAATCCTCTTGCACATAAAGCTCCACTCGATTTTGCACTTGTGGACCCTTGGTCCTTTTTTTATTTACCATCATGTCAACCCCTTCTGTGGAATTAAATTGCTTAGGATTTTGCATTTGTTGAAGTTGAGCCTTTGTTAGCTGAATCATGGTGGTAGTCAATTTGGCAATGGCTTGCCCATGGTCATGCAACTCTTTTTGAAGGTGGATCACGTTCAGATCACCTTGTGGACCATTAGTCCGGGATTGACAAGCCAATGATATTTCTGCCATTTCATCTAAAATCTCACAACACTCCGCATAAGGCGTACTCATAAAGTTCCCACCAGCAAGTTGATTCACTACACATTGGTTGGTTATGTTAATCCCACAATACAAAGTTTGTTGAATCATGTTATCTATCATATCGTTGTTGGGACATTTCTTAACCATTGTTCTATAACATTCCCATATCTCTTGTAGTGTTTCATTAAGCTCTTCCTTGAATGCCAAAATCTCATCCCTAAGTGTAGCCACATGCCCCGGAGAGAAAAATTTAGATATAAACTTTTCTGCCAACTCATCCCAAGTGTAAATTGAATGATTCGGCAAACGTTCCAACCAATATAAAGTTTTCCCCCGTAGAGAGAAGGGAAAAGCCCTTATCCTCAATGCATTTTTGGATACATTTGTTTGTATGCTCCCCCAACAAGTGTCCAACAACACCTTCAAATGTTTGTATGCATTTTGACTTGGAGCACTGGAAGAAACCTCATTTCTCTAGCAAAGTGAGCATCACATTGGTGATTTGAAGTTTGCCCGCCCTAATACGGTGAGGGACTATAGCACTAGTATATCCTTCATTGGGTAACACCCAGTGTGGAGCCTCTTGTGGTGGAGGTAGGGGTGGAGCAGGACATTGTCATGAGTCACTCGGCTTCTTCTATTGGCTTGAGGTTCAAGAGGAACCTCATCAACTTGCTCATCCTCGATGTCCACATCCTCTAAAGGGAAAGTTTTGAGCTCATTGTTCACCATAGTTGTACCTACAATTTCCCAAACAAGTTAATAACACGGGAGGAAAAGAAGATATTCCATAAACACACCCAAATATATAGCTAACAAGGTTTTTATCTCCCATATAATGGCGCCAAAATTGATCATATCACCTCAATAGAGATATGAAATGGTCGTATACAATAATAAATACCCAACTAGGAGTCGGGGTCAAATCCACTGGGAGTTCGGGGTATATATTTTAAATGAGCAATTAGACTATCTAGATTGCACTTTCACAACAAGGTTTTGCTTTATATTTCTTCTGTTAATCTTCTGATTGCAAGATAAACAAAATAGACTAGAGATGAATATTTTTAAGGTTTTTCTAAAGGGGTAAAAGGCATAGGGATGTGACCATAACCTAGGTGTTTTCCTAATGGGATAAAGACGTTAATGCTTGTTTTATTGATTGAGGTGTATTATAGCACTCAACTCCACGTTACCCACTCAATATCTTAGAGA